AGCTGATTAGGGTAGGAAGAGTGGAGGATTAGGGGAAAGTGGATGAGACCATTGTTTCCAAATTGGCTTTTATTCTTCCTGTATCTGGGGGGAGGGGAGAGATAATGGGAGAAGTTACACCCAGCCTCCCAACCACCTCAGTATCCAGTGTGGAGCATGCACCAAGGGTTCTTCTGCTCAAGTGGTTTCAATAGTTCTGAAATGCTATCAATCTCACTGATCTAAGGATGAGAAAATCCTTCCAAGGTTCATTGGCTCACATGGTCCAGCTTAGAGTCTCCATTTGCCCAAGTATTTGCTGTCAATGTTTAGCTGGGGTAGTTGACCCTTTTGTTTTGCCCCCCTTCCTCTGCTGTGGTACCTACCAGATGTCCTTCGCAGGCTCCAATGGACTGCCATATCATCTGTGTACATTTGGATATCCATTGTATAAACTACTGAGGAGACCCAGTTCTGACACATGTACTCCACAGTCAGACCACAGATCCCTCGATTCTCCCCATGGTTGGAGTTCTGAGTCCAGTGGTTCAGTTGGGGGAATCCCCAAAGAAACCTCATCTGAAGATCCTAGACCCTACTCTTGTGTGTGCTTTCGAGTACAGGGTCTGGCTCAGCCTGTAACCCACATTGGCCTATACACACTGGCCGTTGCAATTGCTGGGTCAGTTCTGTATCCAGCCCCATCTCTTAATAAACCAGTGGATGATGCAGCCCAGCACAACCTTGCCCACTACACACTCGGCCCTCACTTACACCAGCAGGAACTGCAGCCTAGTCGGAGCAACCCCCAGTAGCTCCCATTAGGCCTGCCCCCAGACCTGGTTCCTGTGCTTGCCAGTATGTGCAGCAGATTGGTCCAGTCTGTCCACATCCCATTCGGCTCTTGTACATGAGCTAGCATTGAAGCCTAGCTCAAATCAACTAACCCACACTCACGCTAGCAGGTGCCACTGCAAGTCTAGCCAGGCCTGCCCCCAGCTCTGGTTCTCATGCTCACCAATGGGAGTTGCAACCGATCAGAGAGGTGCCCACAGATTCCCTACTGGGTACACTCCCAGTCCCATATTTTGCACTCTCCATGTGCTTCTGCAGCCTAGCTTGACAGGATTTGCCCCCCAGTCCCAGCACTTGCTAGCTGATGCTGCAGCAAAGCCCAACAGGCCTGCTCTTACTCTGGCCTATACATGTACCAGTGGGTACAGTTAGCCCAGTCTGGCTCTCTCCTTAACCCAGTTCACATGCAGGTCAATAGGTCCTGTCCCAGTTCTCACACTCACCAGGGGAAACAGTGGCCCAGAGGGGAACCCCCAGCTGTACCCCTACCAGGCTTGTATCAACCATATCCTCCCAGCTCTTAACCCCCACAGTTTCACATGTGTCGGTGGGAGCTGCAGCCCGATCTGGCACAGCCTGCCTCACCTCAGCATTTGCCAGCCAGTGCTATCGCCTGGCCTGGCCAGGTCTACCCCCGGTTCCAGCTCATGCTGGTGGTTGCTGCAGCCTAACCCAGCCCAGCCATTCCCCAGTCCCAACCAGTGAACTGGCTGGTGTTGTGGCTCAACCTGGTCTTTCCGTTGTGGTTCTTGTATCTGCCAATGGGTGTTATGAACTGGCCCAGGCTGGCCTGCCCCCAGACCCGACCCACATGCATGCCAGCAGGTACTAGAGCTTAGCCTAGTCTGGCACATTTCAGAACCTGCCCACACCCATGCCAAGATGTACTGCATCCATGTCCAACCCAGATTGCCACCCCCATTCTGGCTCTCACTCCCCAGTGGGAACTGCAGCCCACTCAGGGCATCCCCTTAGCTCCCCAGTTAAACTCTCTTCCAGCCACAGATCTTGTGTATGCCGTGTTTGATCTGATCCCAGCCCAGCATAACCCATCACCAAGCTTGGTCTTTGCCATCAGTTATTGCAGACTGGCCTGGCCTGGCCTGCCCCTAATCCCAGCTTTCATTGGTGGTTGCTGCAGCCTAGCTCTTCCCAGCCTACCCCCATCCTTGTCTTTCATGCAAACCGGTAGGGGTAATAGCCTAACCTAGCCAGGTATGACCCGAACTCCAGCTTGGCTCCTGCACATGCCCAGTGTGCTATAGTTTGCTCTGGCCCTACCCAGAGCTGACCCACACATCTGCCAACAAGTGAAGCAGCCCTGCCTGGCCTGACCAACACCTAGCCCTGACTCACGTGCTCACAAGTAGGAGCACTGGCCCACCAGGGAAGTTGCCCAAGTTCCCCCACCAACCCCACTCCCAGACCCAAATCTCAATGTGCTATGGGGTGTTAGGCCCTTACCCAGCACAGTCTGTCCCACAGTATCAGCCTTTGTGCTGGTGGATGTTGTGGTTAGGCTTACCCTATGCTCAATTCTTGGGTGTGCCTGGGGGTACCAGCCAGGCCTGTTCCCAGCCCCAGTATCCATGAATGTTGGTAAGTTCCATGATCATGCCAGACTTCAAACAAATCAGCTGGTATGGCAGTCCCACAGGGCAAACCACAATCCCTACAGAATCTACTCCCAGCCCCAATTCTCTTGTGTAGTGATGGGTGTCATGGCCCAGCCTAACATGGTCCACACTCTGTTCCGACATTCACTGGCAAGTACTATAGATGAGCCCTGTCAGGCAGGCCCTCCAGCCATGGCTTTTATGAGCACTGGTAGACAGGGTTGGTACCAACAATCCCAGCTCAGGTCTCCCATGTGGATGGGTGTATTGGTTTAGCCCCAAAAGGTCCTTTGGTTTTCCTCCTCTAAACCACCCAGTCTCAGCGCCCTCATTTACCTGCAAGTGCAGTGGCGTGGCTGGTGGAAGTCTCCCAGAAGTCATTCCTCACCTGTCTCGTTCTCCTTCGGCAGTCTTTCCTCCCACACATCTCCAGACACACTTCCTTGAGTCATCCACAGCCCCCCATGCCTGCAAGTATGCAGATCCCCAAGCGTGGTCCTCCGGTGATGTGCCGTGCCAGTCTGAAGCCATGCCTGTCTATCTAGTGCCTATGCACAGTCACACCAGGGTCCCTAGACCCTGTCTGCTGGTGTACCAGTGTCTGCCCCCACTTGTCTTTAAATTAAAATAATAATAATAATAATAAAGATAGAATAGCCAACTGTGTGCTGGCACACTGGTGTAGGTAACACAAATTTGGCTTTAACCAGGCCCAGGATGCTGCCAGCTGTTAGCTGCTTTTCTCCCAGCAGTGTAACACTTGCCTAGGAACAATGCAACCTAGGCAGTTGCCTACAGCTGGGGCAGTAGAATTTCTTAGCTTCAGAGCTATTCACATTTTGGTCTGGATACCTGTTTGTAATAGAAGGCTGCTGTTTGTAGTGTAAGTTTAGCAGCATCAGCGATCTCTACCCACTGGGGACCAGTAGCACCTTCCCCAACCACTTCATGGGTGAGGACAAGTTCCCTATTACCGCTTCATTGTTCAGAAAGTGGTCTATAAAAAGACATGGGTGGAATCAGGGAACACCATCAGAAATTGGTTGTAATTTTGGTAAGAAATGATAAGGGTCAAATTTTGAATATGCTTGAAGCAAAAACCAATGAGATTTCCAAGTGGACTAGTTGTAAATTGAGAAAAAGAAGCCTTGGGTGATCCCAAGAATTGTTTTCTTAGCAGCTAGATGAATAGTGATTTCATCAGGTGAAATCAAGACAATAATGGATAATTTGGGAGCAGAAATTTTTTTTAAAGATTTATTTTTTATTTTTTTTTATTGGAAAGGCAGATATACAGAGAGGAAGATCTTCCGTCCGATGATTCACTCCCCAAGTGAGCGCAACGGCCGATACTATGCCAATCCGAAGCCAGGAGCCTCTTCCGGGTCTCCCACGCGGGTGCAGGGTCCCAAGGCTTTGGGCCATCCTCGACTGCTTTCCCAGGCCACAGGCAGGGAGCTGGAAGGGAAGCAGGGCTGCCAGGATAGAACCGGCACCCATATGGGATCCCAGGCGTGCAAGGCAAGAACCTTAACCACTTGCGCCACCGCACCGGGCCCTGGAGCAGAAAATTTTTTGTAAAAAAAAAATGGACATGATGAGTCTGCTATATATATAGAGAGAGAGAGAGAAAGCAGATATGCAAGTCTGAAATTTAGGTTAGAAGCATTACCATGGAAGTTACTGTTGTCTAAATCAGTAGAGTTTTCCACAGTGCTTTATGACAACAGCTGTCTAATGTAGCCAACTAGCCACATGTGGCTACTGAGCAATTCGAATGCAGCTAGTGTGACTGAGGTACTAATTTCAAAATTGTAATTAAGCGGGAATTTTTGTCCAATAGCTTTGTATTAGCACAAATGGTGGTATGAAAACCGTGAGGGGTAGGTAAGATTTTTCAAAGTGACGGGTGACAGATGGAGAAGACCAAGAGCAAACGCTGGAACTCTGCAGCTTCAAAGGGATGAGGAGCAGACGGCAAAGGAAAGCGAGGGGGAGGAGGGACCAGTGAAGCAGGGGCCTGGACACCCAGTGAGCCTGGATTATCCAGAAGGAGAGAGAGACCTTTTTGGCTAAAGGCAGAAATTAGCCAGTGGACTTCGATAGTAAAAACCACTGGTGAACCAGCAAGAGCCGGCCGCATAGTCTAGTTTTAAGAAAGAAAGAAAATCTTATTTATCCTGTGCTTCCTATTCATCCCATCTATTTGTTTTTAGATTTGTTATTTGAAATGCAGAGTTAGAGTGGAGGGAGAGAGAGATACCTCCGTCTGCTGTGTATCCCTGAAACGGCTGCGATGGCCAGGCCAGAGCCAGGGCTGGGAACTCCGGGTGAGTGTCCCGGGGCGCTGCAGGGGCTGCAGGGGCTGCAGGGGCTCAGCCCATTTTCTGCTCAGGCTGGTTAACAGTGAGCTGAATCGGAAGTGGAACAGCCAGGTCTCAGATACTGCATCACAGGCACTGAGCGATATGGCACAGTCGGTTATTTTCCTTATGAATAGTAAAATGCTTTGGAATTCAATGAAAGGGTTTACATTTTCTGATTCCTCAGTGCTTAGCCTCTGAGCAACATGGCCAAGATGGAGAGTGATTGCAGGCATCTTCTCACGTCCGAAGGAGAACACGAAGTACAGCCTGGACCTATGAACATCCAGTTTGATTCTTCAGACCTAAAGTCTAAAAGGTAAGTGTTTAAAACACTCATTTTATAATTACAGTTTCTAACGGCTAGAATAGAAATGACTGTAAGCAAGCATGTACAGATTTGATTATGGAGTTTCCAGTTTCCTACCCGAAGTGTGTTTATGTAAGTATGTGTGTTTGGGACCAAGCATAAACAACAATACTATTTCCTCACTTTTATTTGATATTTTTTCTTTTTAAAGATTTATTTTTATTGGAAAGTCAAGAGAGACAGGAAGAGAGACAGAAGATCTTTCGTTTATTGAGGCACTCCCCAAGTAGCCGCAACGGCCAGAGCTGAGCTGATCCAAAGCAAGGAGCATGGAACTCTTCTGGGTCTCCCACACGGGAGCAGGGTCCCAAGGCTTTGAGCCATCCTCGACTGCTTTCCCAGGCCACAAGCAGGGAGCTGGATGGGAGGCGGGGCTACTAGGATTAGAACCAGTGCCCATGTGGGATCCCAGCAGGGACAAGGTGGGGACTTTAGCCACTAGGCTACTGCACCAGGACTTTTATTTGATTTTTTTTAAAAAGATTTATTTAATTTTTATTACAAAGTCAGATATACAGAGAGGAGAGAAAGAGAGGAAGATCTTCTGTCCGTTGATTCACTCTCAATGCGACCACAACGCCTAGAGCTATGCCGATCCAAAGCCAGGAGCCCGGAGCCTCTTCCAGTTCTCCCATGTGGGTGTATATAATTTGTTTTCTAAATACATATTAATTAGCTAATTTTTGCTGTGTAATAGACTAGGTGATGGAGCTAGAACAGAACAAATCACATTCTCTTCAGCTTCTTTAAGTTTGAAGTCAACAGATAGTTTGAGATTATTTGATTTGAAATTTTATTTCACCTGGAAATCCCAGAAGGCTTCCTTGAGGCCCTGGTGCAGTAGCCTGGGGGTTAAACTCCTTGCTTTGCATGCACCAGAATCCCATGTGGGCGTCAGTTTGTGTCCTGGCTGCTCCACTTCCGTCCCAGCTCCCTGCTTGTTAGCTCTAGGACACTACACCCACATGGGAGACCTGGAGGAGGCTCCTGGCTCTGACTTCGAATTGGCTCAGCTCCAGCTATTGCAGCCACTTGAGGAATGAACCAGCAGCTGGAAGATCTTTTTCTCTGTCACTCCTTCTCTCTGTAAATCTGACTTTCCATTGAAAATGGCTGAATCTTTGGGCCCGGCGCGGTGGCGCAAGTGGTTAAGGTCCTCGCCTTGCACGCCCGGGATCCCATATGGGCGCCAGTTCTATCCTGGCAGCCCTGCTTCCCTTCCAGCTCCCTGCCTGTGGCCCGGGAAAGCAGTCGGGGACGACCCAAGGCTTTGGGACCCTGCACCCGCGTGGGAGACCCGGAAGAGGCTCCTGGCTTCGGATTGGCATAGTATCGGCCGTTGCGCTCACTGGGGGAGTGAATCATCGGACGGAGGATCTTCCTCTCTGTCTCTACTCTCTGTATATCTGCCTTTCCAATAATAATAATAATAATAATAATAATAATAAACCTTTTAAAACAAAAGAAAATGGATGAATCTTTAAAAAAAAAAGAATGAACCCGTTGAGAAATTACAGATCAAGAATTCCGTAAGTAACATTTTACAAAATAGGCCAAAATAATTTTCCAGTGGGAAGATATAATGGAACAAAAAATAAAATAGCTGGAAATAGCTTAGAATGTGCAAAATCTATGTGAGATAAACTTTAAAAATGCATGTGAGAAACGTAAAATGAAACCTAGAAAACTTGGTGGAATCTGAGATGAGACTGATCGCATTGTTTAAGTGTAAGGCAGAAAAACTACTCATCTTACCTCCTAGGCAGTGATCTCTTAGGACTTAGAAGTTTTGTGCTGCATTTACTTGATGAATTTTTGAGTTTGTTTTTTATATCACAGTTCTGTTGTGCTGTTATAAAGGCGGTTTGCATCCCACTCCCCTAGCCTCCAAATAACACACAGGATCGTCTTGTGTAAGGAGTGCTGATTAGGCAGCGCTCCAGTTTCCATCCAGATCAGTGGTGATGCTTGCACTTCCCCGATCTTACCAGCAGGTGTCACACAAGGCTTCCTAATAGCAGGATTCCTATTTCTCCAATAGGCCTTACTAAGTTGGCGTGCTCATGGCTGTCAGTGACTTTTCAGGCCACCAGGAAGAGGGACTGTCATCCCGCGAGTTGGTGGTGCTGATCAGGATGTTCAGGACTGTGAGATGCACCTTCTGCAGGGATGCTGACATGTGCATAACTGAATCCGTAAACTGTCCTGTGAAGAAGAGGGTGCATTCTACTCTCAGTGGGAATACTCTAAAATAAAGATGCCATGCCTTTTCTATTTGAATCCGTAAGTTTAATGTGATTTCCCCACAGAAGGCCAGTAGGCAATTCTCAAGTTTATATGAACAGCAATCTCATATTTAAGCATTAATTAATAGAATCAATTGATACATAAATATATGAAGTTGTTTAAAGCAGCATTTATTTTTTTTTTACAATAGTGGAGATTGAAAGCAAACAAATGGCCTTTTCTTACAGGACTGGATAAATAAATTATGGCACATTCATATAATGAAATATTTTTCATTAAAAAGGAAGTGGCTTTATTACATATCACAATTGGAGCAAATTTTCAACTTAAGTTAAAAAAAAATGAAATGCAGAGCAGTGTATGTACAGTGTGCCACATTTGGGTTGCAGCAAATCAGCATATTACACATAATTACTCATATATAAGTGAAGGCTGGGACCAACAGAAAACTGTAAGAGCGGTTGTCCCTTCGAGAGAGACTGAGTGCCCAGGTAGTATGATCTGGCAAATTCTGTTAATTAATCACCAACAATTATTCAGCACCCCCCCTACTATTTCCTTTCCTTTTTAAAATTCATTTTATTTGGAAGGCAGAGTGAAGGGAGAGGGGGAAAAGAGAGATCTTCCATCCTCTGCTTCACTCTCCAAATGGCCACAGAGGCTGGGGCTGAACCAGGCCAAGGCCAGAGCCAGGACCTCCATCTCTGGGTCTCTGACGTGGGTGACGAGGGCCCACGTATTTGGGCCGTCTTCTGCTTCCATGGGCATATTAGCAGGGAGCTGGCATTGGAAGTGAAACTGCCGGGACTCATACCGGCAGGCAGTGGCTTAACTCTGTCTGCAACAGGATCCTAATGGTGTGGGGACTCATGGTGGGTCCCGGGGCAGGAGGAGAAAGAGGACTGATTTTAACTGATCTTGATCATCCTGTTCCATTTTCACAATACTTGGTTTTTAAATTGTGTTTGCAAGATAGAGGTGACAGTGTGAAATGCATTATTTATAGTGATATCAGAAAAGATAATGAAATGAAACTTGTGACTTTCACTCTTATATTCCATACACACACACACACACACACATATATATATATAAGCACCAGTGAATGCTGACTGAGTGCCCGGGGTTTTCTTGAAACCTCTGAATTCTATGGTAAATAATCAACCACTGTGACAATAGAACATCGGACAGTAAAGTACATTCCATTGCAGTAGGTTGGCAGGGATTCAACAGTTCTCTGAAAATTTAACTGAGTGAATTAAATATAAGTATATTTTCTGTAATGAAACTTATCAAAATGGAGAGAAGCCAGCAACCTACCGTCATGGCATAGCTACATAGGTAAGCATGTTTTAAGGAAAACATATTTATAGGAACTTAGTAGGACTGTATGCTGATTTGATTATCAAAACTAATGCAGGAAAAAGGTGCGCTTTAAAAAATTGTTGTTTGTGTTCAAATGGAGCGCTAGGGAGGGTGTTTCGCATGGTGTGTAAGGTTCTGGTGGGGAGCCCCTCTCAGAGTGCCTGAGCTCGTCTCCCAGCCTCACTCCCAGTTCCAGTTTGCTGCCCCGCTATTCCCTGCATGGGATCAGCATGGGAAACCTGGAGTAGCTTCCTTTCTGAGCATCAGCCTGGGGCAGACTTCACAGGCATCTGGAGGAGTGAACCAACAGATGTGGGGTCTTTTCCTGGTTACCCATCCTCTGCCTCAAATAAATAATAAATAAGGGAAGGGCCTTGCGGTGTGTTGGTTTCAGCCACAGCCTGTAATTCCTGTGTCTGCTGTTGAGACGCCTGGGATCAGCTCCTTTCTCCACTTCTAATCTAGCTTCCTGCCAGTGTGAACCTTTGGAGGAAACAGGTGACAGCCAAGTACTTGGGTTCCTGCCACCCTGGCTTCATAGTAATAAACATATATGGATAAGCTCACTTTTATATAAATAAACCATGGTACAGACTGAGTGAAAAATATCTTCCATTAAAAAAAAAATCTTAGGTGACTATTTCCCAAACTTCAGTCACCGTGGCTACTGATCTCTGGACCATTGTGCAACAGAACTGCCTCTTCAAATCTGTTTATTTTTCAAAATTAAGGTTAATGACATACTTTAACGTCATTTCAATGCTAACTAGCTAACATGCTTTGCGCTCCCTAAGATTGTCTTTTGTAACACTGCACTTTGAGCAACTCTTTGTCAGAATCTAGAAAATAACACTTGATACTTTTAGGTTAATTTATCATCAGTTTATAATCAGCTATTTATAATCACTTTAGCTTTTGCTTTCTCTCTCTTCCACTAAGTGGCGATCAAAACCATGTATTCACTTGAATGGAAGAATTTTTCTTTTTCTTTTCTTTTTTTTTTTTTTTTAAGATCTGTTTATCTGAAGGGCAGACTTACGGAGAGAGAAATCTTCCATCTGTTTGCTTCACTGCCCAAGTATGTAAAAACAGCTGAGGCTGGGCCAGGCCAGATTCAGGAGCCAGGAGCTTCTTTCAGGTCTCCCCTATGGATGCAGGGCCCCAAGCACTTAGACCTTCCTCTGCTGCTTTCCCAGGCGCATTAGCAAAGAGCTAGACTGGAAGTGGAGGAGCCAGGACATGAAGCAGCACCCATGTGAAATGCTGGTTTCATAGACAGTGGCTGACCTGCTTCTCCAGAGCACCAGTCCCAAATACAGGAATTTTAATAACTGCTT